ATCTATCTATCTATCTATCTATCTATCTATCTATCTATCTATCTATCGTCCGTCTGTTAACATAACAGTAAATTATTGTAGAATTTTGAAGAATGGCACCTAAACACTATTTCTGAATCTTTCAATGCCATGTTCTCTTCTTGGATTAGAATACAGTGCACCATGTCACCAAAGGCCAGTCGTATTTCTTTTGGCACATACAAATGCTAATGTGATGCACACCTGTACAGCCACCCCTGATACACACTGGCATTGTCGAGCCCCCTCCCCACTGCCTCATACAAGATCAAACAGACACAACCCGCCCGGCCAAAAATCAGTTAGAGATGCTAATGCTCACATCAGGCTCACTCTTCTCACATCCTTTCACCTCTAACTGAATCATTACCACGTCAATTCAGGCAAGGAGGGACCGCACAAACAACCGTTGGACAGCAATCCACGGGCTAATGTAAATCATCTTTGTGAACAGAGTTGCAAATGAGGGATGGAAGCAGATTGTGTAAACATGTCCAGGGCTGGACAGAATGGAGGGGTGTGGGGATATGAGGCAGTGATTCACTGTCTGTCGTTCTACAATTGTTTTGCACCACGAACAGTTAAGAAAAATCTAGTATTTGAGGCATCAGAAGTCTTTCGCTGATATTTTTCGCCCCTAAAATATTAAGCCACGGGTTCACACTAAAAAAAAAGCTTTGTAAATACAAAAAATAAATCTCTTTACAACAGCATCTTATGTTTGGAAAGCAGCGAGGGAAAGGAGGCTCACTGAGGATACACATTCTATCGCTAACAGTTGAATTTCTTCTCCACAACAGAAGCACCAAAGTGGATGAGACAATTCCAAACAAAGATGCAAAACAAAAGATCTGGAATGCACACTTAGACTTAGTCCTCAACACAATGTTTCCTCCACAATTAGAACTTAAACTCTGTTAAGCTTTGTTTATTATTATATTTTTAAAAGAACAAATTCTAGTTATGCAGTTATATTTCAAATGTCTTTGGACCAAAAAGGAGATGCTTTGTTGGATTATATATTTGTGCTCAGTCCAGCGTGTACGGAAGTGTGTAAAATGGCAGTTAGGCTGATCCAACTGATTTAACCAAGTATATAAATCAAGTTAACACACTATCTGCTGCAGTGTTGGGGATCTAACAACAGGAAAGCTAGAGAAGGAGAACCCAACATGGAAGTGGAAATAGTGCAGTGGTATTCTAAATAAAACCTTAAGTGTGATTTTAATGAATTCGAACCCAAACATTTTGGGCAGCCATGCAAAAAGGGATCACTGGATGGACGAAGATTAAAAATATCCTAGAAATTAAGAGTTAAATCACTTGGGTATTGTGTAGAGTTATTTTGTTAGGCTTATCCTGTAAAAGGTTTGTAAAAAAAAAAAAAAATTGGCAATTGGGATTCAAAAGCAAATAACCTCAGTGGCAAATGAAAAGGCCCAACTTGCATCCCTAGAGGTGTGAAACGAAGAGATTGGCTCGAATGAAATCACCCACCTCCTGGCTGTCCACTCCCACACACGTCCTTATAAACAGACACCGGCACGCAGCTCAGTGCGCGCAATTTTTAAACGAGGAATAGGCCCACCTGTTTTACCTGGAGCATGGAGTTTTAATTCCCCCTCTCCCCGAAGGTCGACATTTTTGTACCGTTGGGATTTTAGCCATTATACTCAAGAATCCAGAATATTTCCGCGACACGCAACTTCTGCAGGAGAGAAAAAAAATGGCAGACTGGAAGACGCAGGTAACATATAATTACAACCCATCTTACCGCGCTTACGCCTACGGTCTCGTGTATCAACCGGAGCCCGAGCAGAACCCCGGGAACCTGACAGGCTGGAGCGATGGCGGAGTCCCGGACTTGGGCAACTACAGCACGGGGGCAACGCAGAACTACTACGCAGCCACGACCACGTCCAGGACCCGGGAGGAGACCCCTCCTCGCAGCCCGGAGCCCCATGCCGTGAACGGCCACTGCTACCAGGGCTCCGGGGTGGTCTACTTCGGCGAAGGCCAGCCAAGCCGCCTGGTGCTGGCCGGACAACACCGTGGTCCGTATGAAGTGGCGGGAAATGAGGTCGGGCGAACCGGGAGTGATTCGGCCAGTGACTCTGAGGCACACACCTCACCAGGTAGGCAAGTCGAAATTGTCCAAATGGCGACTTTACTTCATTTTTTTTTTTAAACTACCAAAAATGGCATATTTGTTTTTAAACGTGTCTATTGTGCAAGGTCTTAAGCCCCCTGAAGCCATTTCTCATTGTCGGGTTGAAGTATACGCACTGTTCATGTCCATCTTGGTTTGAAAATTATTTTCAAATATGGCGCCACGGGGCGCTGTGCAATTAGTGGCGACATCTGGCGATAGAGACTAAGAATGGCACCAATGTAAACTAAGAGGTGAAAGTGGAGCGAAGTGTATTTGTATTGTATGTAATTTAATGGGTTTTCTCCTGGATGCAGATTCCTGGAGTTCAAGCAGCAGCCGTGAAATAAGCCTTCCCCACACAGACCCTGCTACGTGGGCTGAGAAAGATGTTGAGGAGGAGGCCATCGGCAGGAGCCCAGTCGGCAGCGAGGATGTTTCGAGCTCTCACATTGAAGAGCTGCCTACCGTAGTCACCGAGGCGAACGTGGTGGCCAACAACCCCGGCCAGCTGAATGTACCGACGGCTGTCCCAAAGAAGCCGAGCACAACTGCTGGGAGTAACCCCCAAGGAAAGGTCCGGGCGGCTTTCTCCGAGAGCCAGATGAATGCTCTTGTCCAGCGCTTCAGTGTCCAGAGGTATCTCACCCCAGCTGAGATGAAAAATTTGGCTGAACTGACCGGACTGACCTACAAACAGGTGAGGCACACGGTGCTACTAAAAATAGGGGTTGAAACTGGACCATGTTGGCTGTACGGGTTGTCTAATCCTGTCTATTTTGTAGGTGAAGACCTGGTTTCAGAACAGGAGGATGAAGCTTAGGAGGCATCAGAAGGATACCAGCTGGGTCTCTGAGCGATATGCCATCAATAAGGACAGCTCCATCCAAGGAGCCATGTTCCCCAACATAGCCTCACACATCTCACCTGTAAGCATTTCGTTTGCTAAATGTTTATGAAAGATTATCTGTCAATGCAACTGAATGAGATATTGAATTGTTCCTCTCCCACTTGTTTGTGTTTCAGTATCAAGCAGACGGGCGCTCACCGTACGGCCAGCACATGATGGAGGCAGCCTTTAAGAAGAATCCACAGAACCTGGCCTTCTATCTGGCTACCATGGGTGGCGCTGGAACGGCCGGCTACCCCCCCTGGCCCTCCAGCTCTCCGCAGGGCGCCGTGCCCAACAGGCCTCAGGTGCCCGGGTGGTCCATGCCGCCAGGTGGCGGCCACTTTGAATACAACGCCGGTGCTTACAGCTCGCCTTGTGCCAACACTGTAAACAACTTTGGGCACAACACTGGTTTTGAGAGCAAGGGTGGGGAGTCTGTGGGCAGCCCAACCTCATTAAACACAGCAGTGGTACACAATCCGAGGCAGTAGCTGGACCCGTAGCTCGTCTGTGTGTGAAAGCTTAACTGTAAATGTTATCCCACAGCCATGTTCATGGTTGACCTTAGCCTCTTAATTAACTAGGCTCTTTTGGGGCTGGGTCTTTGCCTTGTTCTACCGTGTGTTCAAATGTTTTTTTTTTTTTCTTTTATCATGTTTTATTTTTATATGCAACTATTTAAGTATTATGGTCGGTGCTCGGTGATACACACTGTATCCAGCTAAAATTTTACCGACTGACATGTGCTTTCTTTGCTCCAATAAAAACTTATTCAAAGGCTGACCGTGTACAGCATTTTTGGAAGATTTCCCTATGTGTTTTTTTGTGAGCTCACAACTCAAAAAAGGTTTTCTCCCAGTGTTGTATTAAAAAGCATTTTATTGAAAACCCTATATTTACATCATATCCAAAGACCATTGAGTACAATGCCGATATTTTCCCCCACCACCGCTAACGATTCACGTACAAGGCATCTTTCCTCCGACCCACTGCGAGGACCTGGAGTTCACGGACTGGTGCAAATGTTTTCCTGTGTCTGAACAGGCTGCCGTATCACGAGTATTGACTGCAGGTAGTAACACCAGCTCTGCTGAATCATTAAAACTATGTTTACGCATGTACTAGAGCGCTCAGCAGGTCACTGGTGAAACAGAACATAAAGCCCACATCTCTGCCCAGCCTTCACAGGCCCTTATGTACCACACAAAGCATTAACTTAATTCACATCTGACCCCTCATCTCCTGATGGAGAGTAATTATCCCTTTTAGTTTATTTCAGATTATCTCCATAATTTAACCTTCAACTTGAGCTTTCTTTTACCCCCTTTGTGTCAACAATGGCAGCTGCTGAAGTTCATTAACTTTTCAAATGAAGTTCAAGGCCCCTGTGAGAGACAAGAATCAAGACTGTGCATCTTCTACGAGGAAACGGGATTGAGTGGGCACGGTTTGTCGTAGGTCAGTCCATCTTGAGGCTGCGGTAGATGTAGCGGATAAACGCCAGCGAGGCCCAGAACGACACGCTCCCCAGCATCAGGGAGAAGACCAGCGCCGTGAGCAGCGAGTAACCGAAGAACTCCGTGCTCTGCACCAAGCCGCTCATGGAGGACCGGTTCCGGTAGTAGAAGACGGAGTAGACGAAGATGAAGAGGCCCGTGGAGCCCGTGCTCAGCACGCTCCGCCACCACCACCGGTAGTCCTCGCCCGACAGCAGGAAGTAGGTCAGCGCCACAGAGATGCAGGCACCGACCGAGAGGAGGATGGCAAAGACGCACAGCAGGATGCCATAGAGGGTGTAGTGCTCTCTGCCCCAAACGGTGGCAAAGATGTAGTAAAGCTCCACTGAGATGGCACTGAGGGACGCATTGGAGAGAAAATAGGATTTTGAGTTTGGAGGCTTCTAAAAACAAGTTTGGAAATGAGCGGTTGTCGATGAATGAATTCAAACGTCCTGCTTCGAGTGCTCACCTGAAGGGCAGGAAGCCCCCGATGGCCATGTGTACAAACGTGTGTTTGTACCACGGCTGCGTGGGGATCTGCCGGGCAATGTTGCGCGTGCGGCACGGCGCCTGGAAGCCGCCCGCCCGGTTTTTCCCCACGATGCCTCCGATGACGGTGAGCGGGAAGCCCACCAGCAGCCAGGCGCCCAGCAGTAGGAGCACGGTGGTGGCCGGCAGAGCCTGCGTGGAGCCGCTCCACCAGTGGATGGAGTTCACCACGCTCCAAGTGATGAACAGGGGAGCTGTGGGAAGGCACGAAAGGTCTCCATCAAATTAGCCAAATTATCTCTGAGCAAATACATGTTGTGAATCTCAGGGCAGATCCGCATAATTAGGTGTAGTTGACCAATTCCTCTTGGACCCTCACCTGAGAACAGAGACGATGTCAGGATGATGTTCCACACCCAGCGCTGGCCGTTGATCTGTGTGTAGAAGCTGCACGAGACGTAGCCCGACACACAGCTGGTCAGAGCGTACAGGACGATGGCCGCCGAGTTGATGGCGCCGTGGCGGTGGACGTTGAACATTCCAAGCAACGCCATGAGGATGATGGCTAAAGCAACAAGGAAACCACGGGAGATAAACATCATGTAGCGTTGCTACGGGTCAGACGAGCTCGGAGAGGAGTTCACGCTCTGCCGTGCATCCGATTCCAAACTAAGCGCTCACCTGTGGCCAGCGTCAGGAACTGAGCTCCGACTCCCAGCACGGCGCACAGCAAGCTTTTGAAAGGGGGGAATCTGAAGACGTCGGTGTGGATGATTTTCCAGCCGTTGTCTCCTTGGTCCAGATCATCGCAGCCGCCTTCCTCTTCCACGTTGTACCTTCAAGCAGCATAAAGGGATTTGTCAAGTTTGATAGGAGGCAAAAATCATAGATTCTTTTTTCTTACATGCACAAGAAAACCCTTGGTTTAGTGGAAACAGAGCCTGTCAAGTCAGGAGACTGAAAGATTTCACATAAAACCCTAAAATTTGCGATCGCGCCAAGATACAAGCAGCCGTGTCATACATGTCAGAAAGGCTGAGTAGGCTTTGAAACCACGCAAAATGACAGAACTAAAACCATATACCAATCATGAAAAAAGCAAAAAGCAAGTTCATAATATTAAATGCCTGACAGAGACATGTCAGTTGGTAAGAGGTAAATTAGCACTTAAAAACCTGGCTTAATGATGGATATTTGTGTCTGCTCCTGTTCTGTGTGTTTTTGCCTGTATTGGTTTGTTGTGTCTTAATTGAAAAACCTTCAAATATGAAGTTGGGATATTGGAACCCATATTTTTTACCAGCATTTCTCATTGGTGTAGAGATTTCCAAAAGATGCTGCAGTGAACAAGTCTGGATCAGCCATCAGAATTAACTTGAAATGTTTAAGCTAATACACACACACCAACAAAAAAGGACAAAAAAAAAAAAGGAAAAAAAGAGAATGAATAATTCTGGCCTCAGTGGATTTGTACGCATTGTTCAGCAGCATCCAGCTGCTGTTAAGCTACACAAAAGAGGGAAGTTTTAGCTCCGATCTCACGCTACTATGACTGTGATGTTTCGGGTGACAGAATTCAGCTGCAAATGATGAAATATTTCTTTTTATTAATATTTAAAAACACCTGGGCTCACTTTAGTGAAGCCAGAAAGCAAGACCTATGGTCACATTGTAGCTAACATACTGACAGAGAATGGTGGTGAAGTGCTTTTATAATCCCCAAGGAAAGCTGTGTTTCTGACTTAATTGAAACTCCACAATTCACCACAAAAATGGTACATTATCTTCTCACTTGATATCAGGAGAATCATAGTCTACGTAGATTGAAAAACAAGAAAGGAATTACAACTTTGGTATGAATAACTATAAAATCATTAATGGTGATGCCGATTTATATTAAAAAGTCTTCATTTATTGGAATAGTAATGCCATAATAGTACTTTTTATATTGTAGGTCCAAAAAGCTGAATGCAACTATACTTTACTGTTGCATGAACTGGGACAGGAAGGAAGTTGTTTGCTGGCCAAAACGGCCGGCGTCATGGCAAGAAGAAACAAACGGAGCCTGTGCGGTTTATTACAGGGCTCAGGCCGTTAGCCTCTTGAGAGCTTTAAACTAATTGGTCCTCCTCAGACCTCTTTGGTCGTCACTGCACTGAGCCGGCTGCACCCATGTTTGCTTTTCACACAGGTTCAGGACATCACCTGCAGAGCTGGACGCTTCCACAAACGTGTGCCGATTTACTCGGCTTAACAAATCCGGGTCATGGTCTTAAGTAGTGGTTGACATTAGATGAGGTGAAACCCATATTGTTTGATGAAAGGCTTCACATACAAAATTTCTCTCATCCCCATGTGATAACCTACAAGGATTTGTTCCAAAGATCAACTGGTGGAATCACAATGATATTCTACTAACTTGGAAAACTCTAGTCCTACAAGGAGGAAAAGAGAATTTTCCTATTATGTGAACTTTAATTTCCAGCTGAGTGACTATTAGTTGGCTCAATACATGAGACATTTTCATCAGCCTGACACAGGAACACTAATTGGTGGCCCATGCTGGCTTTGCTCTCTCACCTGGCAAAGTCATTCTTCAGAACTCGCATGAGGATGATGATGACGAAGCCCAGCAGCAGGACGACCAGCACCAGTGAGTTAATGATGGACAGCCAGTGGATTTCCAGCGTTTTGGGGAAGAAAGAGTAGTCTCTGAGGCGCTCGCCTCTCCGGGAGTGAGGCAGATTGGACTCGTACCAGCGCACGCTGTACGTGTGGGTGACCGTCAGGCTACCACCGCCGACCCCCACCCCACCCACGGCTGCGCCCGCCCCCTCCTCCAGGGGAACGGGCTTCACGTCTTTCACCGAGACATTGGCAAAGATCACAGAGTCGCCGTTGTACTCAATGTTGAAGTCTAGGTGAGTCCACAAACCCACCTGAAAGAAAAAAAAGAATATCATAAAAGATCGGAAATCAGCAAAATGGCCACTGGAATTCCCCTCGGATCAGATTTCAGCTGAAAAGAGAAGTCTGTGCTCCATGTGACATGTCACTCCCATTTACCTTGTGGCTGTGAGGCAGGAAGCCACTTTCCTCGATATATCCCACAAACCCCAAGATCGGTATTTCATCTAAGACAAATTCAAAGTAGTACAGCTCCTCGATGGCTTCACGGAGTTCATCCACCTGACGCACATTCAGGACAAAAAAAAAATCAGTCTCACTCTATTTATTTTAAGGAGTTTGTAAAAAAAAAAAAAAAGAAAAAAGTATGATTGAATTTTAAAGCCTGAATTTAGCAGAAAACATTAAAAGACATTAAATTCCTCCCTTCGGTGAGTTAAAACCTGCTACAAGTTGGAAAATAAAAGCAGAAACACAACAATGACTCCAAATATCTAATTAAGAATTAAATTTTTATCAACTGATGCTTGATTTACAACTCAGGAAATTAGCTTTGTAGTTTTTGTTGCAATAAGAAAGTACAATTAAGGGAGCCATTTACCTCTAAAAAAATAAAAAGAGATCCGTCTTGCAAAATTCTAGGTTTAGAAATAAATCTGATGACAATAGCTATTTAAAATGACTCCTCTCACGTTTTCAGCAGTTCCAATCCCCTGACTTGTCTAGCAACTTCAGTTTGTATCCAACCATTCTCCTAAATACCTGTTTTTCTGAAAGGGTGAGTTTGCAAAGGGTTTTTTTCTCCATGTTTTCTCTGAACCGGATGTGATACAGTGACTCTGCCATTCTATCACCGTCCAGCACCTCTCCCAGACTCAGGGACTTGTGATGCACCTGAAAGAGACGTCACAATGTGATCCACCGAGGACAAACACAACATCAGATACATCCGCAGCAGCCCTTGTCCATCGCTGCGTACGTCATGCTTCATGCTGAGGTAAAATTAATTTATGTCAAACGGCCACAAACTCAATTGGAGTCAGCGTAAACTGCTTAAAGATTGATGTCACGAATAACACCATCGACACGGGGGGGAGAGCCCATCTGGCTAACAGATGAAATAACTCAATAAGAAAACCCAAACAGCAAAGAGATGAATAAATCAAATGCGTTTTCAGGCATATTTCTTGTTGATCTATTTCCAAAGATGGGGATGCTGTCTAAAGTCAAAATAAAAAACATTAGCCTTGACAGCTGACTCGAGCAGCTAGAATCACATCTAGGACAAGAAAGGATTAATCACTTTTTCAAAGGTTTCCTTAGCCCAGATTTTAAATGGTGTCTGTTAATTATACCAATGCACACAGGTTGATAAACATAAAAAACTATCTTTTGTACACTTTTATTTGACAGTACTTTATCTCAATGGTAAGTTAGAAAAAGAGAGCCCTAAAAATAAAACCATCTTCAGCCCATTCCACTCACAGAACAAAGACTGACCTTCTCTGGCCTGCAAACAGGCAGTGTGTAGTAGTGATATGTCTCCTGGGGGTTATGATAAGGCCCCACTTTGTTGACATAAAGAGTCACATTGTCCCCCTGCTTGTAACCTGCTGTCCAGCCAGAGAACAAGCCCAGGATCAAGATACAGCGCAGTGCCATGGTCCTCCGACAGCCACCCGGCGAAAAGGCCTGCAAGGGAAGAGGGAAATTTCATCATGACTTTTCATCAGTTTACGCCAAATGTGACAATCTGTCAGTTTTATGGTCTTCCCATCTAGTTTTGACGGTGTTAAAAAGCCATAAGACGAGCCTGATGATTTTGAACAATTATTTTTTCTTTGTCTGAGCAGAAAAAATAATGACACCCATCTGCGTCACCCTGGTTACGAGCATCGGGCTTAGCAGCAAATCCAGTCTCCACAGATTTTCCCAGTTTGATGTTTTGTTTTTTCATTTCAAGCAGTTTTACAAACATTTTCTTTAACCTGGTCCTGCCATTAACATGGCCGTTTCAGCACATTCTGAAGGGGGATAATGTTGTCACATCAGTACCGAGGACACCTTTTGAAATGCTCCTCTTTTCTTCATCGACTGCCATCTGCGCCCCTTGTGGAGCCCTTTCTGATGAGGATTCAGAGTATAGTTGATTCTCACTGAGAGTCTCACATATCTTTCAGGTCTTTGTTTTTTCCCCTCCCTATTTCTTAATGATATCACTTTCAGATATAGTTGTTATTTTTCGAGCCATAAGCTTCTTCATTTGCTCTTCTGTCATCCAGTTCCTTCCATTTTTCAAACAGCACACCTTGCTGACGTACAGTATGTTTGGATATTTACTTATTTCAGAATAATTTGTCTGTGCTTTTCTATCAATTAAACAACTCTATTTTAGATGATTTTATTTGGATTATTTAATTTGCTTTTGTTGTTGGTTATGAGCAGAACAAACTGTTTCTCAGACATGTGTATTAGACATGGGACAGTGACAGTGCCAACTACCACACCACAGACCCCATGTTCTAATAATCCTTGAGCGTGTCCATGCTTAATACTCAGAACACCAACTATCAAAAAGTTTAGTTTACTGAATATATCTCTATATTTCTGTCTGTTTTTTTTCATCAGTGTTGTGAATGGGAAATTCCACTTTAAATCTGCAGAGGCGTTACAGCAAATCTGCTGTATGGAGAGTTTATTAATGGCGGGATAAAGGTGCACTCAAAGTTTTCTATTTTCTCTTTATGGATAAACCTTTAAAACATGCAACACTGACAAACACAAATGAGCTTTTAGGGGATTAAAAAAAAGACTGTTGAGATGGAAATTCCTAAACATGCAGAGCTGTTTGGTAAATCCGTCTAAAGACTGATTAAGCATCATAGCTATGTTAAATGCATAACAAGTTAGTCACGTTCTATTTGACCCCCTATGTCAACTGCTTCCTGCTATGGCTTCATAGTCAGTTACAGGTCAGAAACCTCTGACCTTTTGACTATAGGAAGATATACAGGAGTATAAACGTAAAAACAGCCGTTCTTTTGCAACTATATACAGTAACAACTAAGATAAGAAGCTACAACATCCTTTCTAAAGGAGACAGTGCATCCTGTTCCACTCGTTGAATCTCTTGTTGAATCTGTGTATACAACCGTGATTATACATGACACCACACTGACTACCTAGTTCAACAAGACTTAAAAACATAGACGAGCATTTCCATCAAATTCCGATTAAAAAAACAGTAAACCGTCAAAGACCTCGCGATCCACAACTCTGATACACTGAACCGGTGTCCCTGTTACCTCACTCCGGATGCAGCAGATCCAAAAAACCTGTCTGTCCGCCGGATTCCTCGGACTCCAGGCCCCGACAGTCTCCTCTGCCCCGGTATGCGCCGACAGTGGAGCTCACTGTAAATGCATGACATTAGAGCTAAGCATCTTGAAATCCCGGACAAAGTGTATCAGCGTCCTATGTGTTCGCTGTGCTCACATCCGGGAACGCTAAATACTTTTTACTAACACGCGAGGCGATGTGGGATGAGGGCTAGGACAACACGTCACCCTAAAAAATAAAAATAACGACGACTTGGTTCAGTTTTCCGGAGTGGGCGGAGAAAGAAAAAAAAATGTTAAAAAAAACAAACAAAAAAACAGTTGCGACGTAACTGCGCTCGTAGCCAGTATTATTCGGCCGAAACAGCTTTTTGAAATACGCGTGGTTTCTATCCGCTTTAGAGACTCAGAAAACACTGTTAATTTATTTGTATCTATTGGCACCGCGTCTCTATCAATTTTTGCATGGACCGGATTTCCTTTACCTCAATCAACCAATCGGGTAGGCTTTCGTGACTTCCTTGTTTCGACTCAGTCCCGTTTAATCACACATGCATCATCGATTTGAGGCTTCGCTGCGCCGGTAAGGATTCTGTGCTCAATCATTTGACAAGTAATGTCTGTTATTTAATTTCCCGCGAAACAAACGTGGTACCTCGCGCCTGAGACGTCGGAACAAGTGCTTAAACAAAGTATTGAGGCTAACTGGTAAGTCTGTTATAAATAATTTACGAATACAGCCTAAAGTGTTGCTGCACGTCAGGGTAGTCGGTTTTCTTTTGCTATTTCACTGTCGTTAAATGTGTCGGAATTTAGCCTCACGGATGATTATTGTATGCAGTGCAGTTAGCTTGCCATATTATATCCTAGCATGTTAATTCGATAACACTTTGTTCGTCACTTTGTGAGTATCTTGCAAAGCACATAACCGCCGTATATGTTTATGTACGTGTTGGCGTTTGGTCGGGGTTTACCCTGACGGCGTAAGCTGCTACCATGTCAACATTTTCTCCTGTATTGACTGCACATGAAAGCAGCACGAATAGCTCAGGCCCTGACTTATTATGTATATGATGATGCCGTAAAGAACAACCCTGGAAAGTCATTACACTGTGATGAGGTTAGGATAGATGCCACTGTACTAACACGAGTTCTCCACCTTTCTTTTCCTAGATCTTCAGCCAAAATGGGAATACACGGGCTTGCCAAGCTGATAGCCGATCATGCCCCTGGTGCTATCAAGGAGCAAGACATCAAAAACTATTTTGGTTAGAAAAGCATTACATTATCCCCATAAGAATTATGAATGAATCGCCTTGTATTATTTTGACTTATTAGAAGCTGCATGTTAGATTTGCGCCTATTGTTTTTTTCCTGCCCATTTGACAGGACACTAGTTTTGATAAATGCTGCAATCATTCATTTTCAGGAAGGAAAATTGCTATAGACGCCTCCATGTGCATCTACCAGTTCCTGATTGCAGTGAGACAGGACGGTAATGTTCTGCAGAATGAAGATGGAGAGACTACAAGGTAATGGTGCAGCCCCACGGATGTCGGTGCATCAGAGATGTAGAAAGTAACTTGCTCAGAAAAGGACTGGAATGATTCTGTAATTTCCTTTTCTTTTTTTAAGCCACCTGATGGGAATGTTCTACCGCACAATCCGCATGTTGGAGCATGGTATCAAGCCAGTGTATGTATTTGATGGGAAGCCTCCACAGCTCAAGTCTGGAGAGGTTAGTGTGTACTCACATTTAAGTGATGATTTCCCTCCTGTGTGTTTCTGTTGGACAAATAGCAGCACTTAGTTTTGTTTATTTTGCTCTATTACATAACTTGTGTTTTTTTAATACATTGCTTTCATGGGCCAGCTTGAAAAGAGAGGGGAAAGAAGAGCTGAGGCTGAGAAGTTGCTCGCTCAAGCCCAGGAGATGGGTAAGGAGGGTTTTACTGCACGTTCTGACCCGATTGTTGTAACCCAATCAAAACTTAAGCTTATGTATATAATTTTCCACTGTTTTAAAAAAAAAAAAATGTTTTTCTCAAACCAGGGGAACAGGAAAACATTGACAAATTCTCTAAGCGTCTGGTTAAAGTCACCAAACAGCACAATGATGAGTGCAAAAAGCTGTTGTCCCTGATGGGAGTGCCCTATATTGAGGTAAGCTGTTTTCTTTTCTGGGAGTATGTTAGAGAATAGAATAACCCATTCAGATATCTGACACTTTGTTGTTGTTTTTGTGTCAGGCTCCATGTGAGGCTGAGGCCAGCTGTGCCGCTCTGGTCAAAGCAGGGAAGGTCTTCGCCACGGCGACGGAGGATATGGACGGGCTGACCTTTGGGACAAATGTCCTGCTCAGACACATCACTGCCAGTGAAGCAAAGTAGGCACGCAAAGCACAGAGTGTACATTTGATGATCGAAAGGAGAAAAAAGTTACCCGCTGCTTAATAAAAAAACAAACGACAACAGTCGTGTACAATAAACTTACTTCTGTTTCAGGAAGCTTCCTATTCAGGAGTTTCACTTCAGTCGCATCCTAGAGGACATCAGCCTGACCAACGAACAGGTAGTTTTTTCATCTTTTCACCGACAAAAACAGAAATGGTTTCTACTCTGTTAGGTTTGGGACTGACTGTCTTTCTTTCTCGCCTCCAGTTCATAGACCTGTGCATTCTGCTGGGCTGTGACTACTGTGGCACTATCAAGGGAATCGGCCCCAAGAGAGCCATTGACCTGATTCGTCAGCATGGCTGCATTGAAGAAATCCTTGAAAACATCGACACAAATGTGAGTTCACACTTCTGCGACCCTTCTCTGATGTCCAAATGCTTAATTCCCCATGCTGGATCTGATTGTGTGTCTCGATCGCCCTCTTGCAGAAGCACCCCGCCCCAGAGGACTGGCTTTACAAAGAAGCCAGGAATTTGTTTCTGCAGCCGGAGGTGGTGGATTGCTCTTCGGTGGAGCTGAAGTGGAATGAGCCCGATGAGGAGGGACTGATCCAGTTCATGTGCAACGAGAAACAGTTCAGGTGAGCTAAGCACAGACTCATAACTGTGCTGCGTGTTGGATTTTTCTGACATAAAGGATTACGATTGGTTCTTGTTGTGAACAGACCAACTGTTTTCACATGTTTAACCACCAGTGGGCGATATTGGACACAATGACCCAGCCTTTATGGCTTATGAGCCACTAACACTGCTGCCTACTCCCTTTTTAAAGAATGTTCACTCCAAATTTCAGTCTGTCCATAAAAAAGTAGCTTATTAACACACAAAATAAAATGCAGGTTTATAAGAATAGAACTTAAAAGATTCCATTAATTTTTCGGCTATGTGCGCGCAGTGAGGAGAGGATCCGAAATGGCTGCAAAAAGATCATGAAGAGCCGACAGGGCAGCACACAGGGACGGCTGGATTCTTTCTTTACCGTCACTGGGTCGCTGTCCTCCAAACGAAAGGTACGTTTACAATAACTAAACTGCCACTTTTGTTTTTTGCTGTGCAACCAAAGGATTGCAAGTAATCCATTGTTATTGAACCAGCTACTGCTCTTGGTAATTGTGTGGTTCCCCATTGTTTATATCTCAGATTGAATTTCAAAGAAAACAGTTTTTGCAAATGGCATTCTGTAACCCTCTTGTTTAATTTGTCTTAGGAACCAGAGACAAAAGGATCTGCAAAGAAAAAACTGAAAACCGGAGCCACACCAGGGAAATTCAAAAAGGGCAAATAAGCTAAAAATGGGATTCTAGATCCAGTTGTGTTAGTATTGTCATGAATACCATGAAGACAGACTCTGACTCCATATGTACTGATGGAAATGGCGCAAATACCTCTAAAAAACATTTTGAGGACCAGTTCAACAGAACAAACCATAACAAGTTTCAAGCTAGCTGTCTTTAATTAAATCGTGAACGTTTGTTTTATCCGAGTGTGCTTGGAATAAAATTTGTTTTTCTGAGTTTTGATGCTCTCTTAAGGTAAATTGACAAATAAAACTCACTTTCACGATGTGAGAAGTCTTTAGTTGTAGGCAAATAATAGGTTCCACATCATTTAAATTCTAATTAATAAAAAGAAAAATCAAGCTGGTAAGTGTATCTGCTGTATTTGATGGCTTTCAAAAAGACAGGGGTTTTGTGGAAGAATTTACTCAGCCCTGCTCACCACCCAAGTTTTTGCAGGATCGTACATTGAGGACTTTTTCAGACTGAACAGCAGTTATGTTTGAAAATGTTTTAGAAAAAAAGAAAAACAAAAGCTTTTTTCTTTTATGACCAAATTTGAGCCACGTTGGGGGTCAAATTGATATCAACTTAAAAGAGGAGTAATACTGTCTCCAACTGGCTGATTAGGACTGGAATCCTGTGTGGCTGGTCGGTCTACAACAACTGTTTTCCATACCTGGATTCAATGCAAATACTCAAGAGAAAAGGCTCACTGTTCTAAGCTGATGTTGTAGTGGGTATTTCCCTTTTAAAAATATGCTGTTTGAGTCATCCATTGACGACAACAAGCAGGACTCAAAGCCAAGTCAGTGCTCATGTTAAGGTTCTAAGACCTACAAATAAGTTCATAACCACTTAAATGAGTCTCACCTTTAATATTTCGGGCTCTTTAAAACTTTTTAGGAAGAGTACAGTGCCCTTACAGCTTTTCGCTTTGGTTCCCCTTTTTTTTGTGTGTTTTTTTTGTACAGCTGGTTAAAGAAAGTAAAGAATGATGAATGATTGAATGACATACTTTTGGCTCTAACCGTATTACAGCATCCTTCTTTTTTTTACAGACTAAAGTTTCCATGCCGTGTCTAAAAACGACAGTACTGTTGCTGAAAAACTGTGCTTCCCCTTTTTGTGGTAAAGAAAGCCCGTTTGGGGAGCAGCCCACTGAAAGTGTGGTTCCCCTGACAGTGTTCAGTGTTTTGAATGGTAAACAATCCATAAAAAGTACATAGATTATACGATACTAACTCAACCCTCTAGTTCATTAGCGATGATATAGAACATCTTAAAAAGCTTTAAATGTACAATTGACATGGCTGGCAAACTTTGGGCATATAAAAATGCTTCTTGATGTCTGTTTTGCTAGATTTGTTTAGTACAGTGTCCTTCCACTAAATGATTTGTACGAGGCTGACAAATATGACGCCACAATTGTCTTAATTAGACTCTTTGGTATAAACTAAGCCAACAGGCCCAATGTCAGCAGGAATAAGCTCCAGCCCCCCCCGCAATCCTACGAGGAATAAGTGGTATGAACAATAAATGAATGACCTAATCCGACAGAATTTATTTTGAAGGAAACAATACCATGGTTGATTTGCTAGTTATCATGCATTGTATGCAGTACAACAAAAAAGTCAAATCCAAATGTTTGACAGGTTTCACATGCAGCAAGTTCTTAGATTGGGGGCAAATCCATAACATCCAAAGAGCGTGGCAGAAACTGCTGCTGCTAAAGCGGGTCTTTAAAATTAGGGCAACCTCCCCAGATAAATGAAGCTTTTTGTAAGTATATTTTACTCCACCAGTAAATGCATTTCTATGGTGTTTGCATATGCAAAATACAGGGGATTTCATTGTCTTCAGCAGCTGGCTTGGTCTCATCTTAAGTCATTTTTTCCTTTCTCTCTCTCTCTGCCCTCAAAAGTCAAGCCAAGATAGGTTTCAGTTTTTGCGGGAGCCATGTTTGATGAAAATATCATAATGCCCCCTGTTTCTAGACCAAGCCTTTCCGTTCTATCTCCCCCCCCACAACTTTATGACGATTGACCAAGGACAGAAATTGATCAGACTTTTTATCAGTTCATCAGCCAACAGTTAGTGGTTCTCTTGTCACCATGGCAACGCATAGTAACTGATGCTATCGGAAGGAGACCATCCAAAACAGCAGCATCCAAAATAGCACAGAAAAATGCTCCAGACATCTGTGCATTCACAAAAAAAGAACAGAAAGATACTATACGTCAAAAGATGCTGGACAAAGCTGCCTTTTTCTAGGATTTACTGAGCCTGAAACATCTCCATTGTAGGAGGCATCTGGAGAAGGCTCAAGCAACAGTAACAACATTAAAAAAACTGCATCTGTGATCCGCGTCTGAAATTTTCCTACCGCATCCTGTCATACTGACAGAAGTAACTCATTTTCTAACTATAAGCACAGTACAATCTATTGACCCTCTCCTTGTGTGCACAAAATGTTCTTTTTTTTTTTTTTACACCTTTTTATGAAATGAACAACCATTACAAGCAAATGAAAAATAAAAATACCAAAAATCACCCAAGATACTTATGCTGCAGCCATGGTGGCAAGGGTTTTTTTATGGGTTCCTCTGATCAATAACGTACAATACACTAGCTTAGTTTGCAAATAACTTGGTGCCTTTCATATAAATCTGCTAAAGAAGTTATTCAAATTCAAAGAAATGCAGATTGGTTTGTACTCACATGTTTGCCTGTGTGCTTTGTGCACCAGCTGATTTAGGGATTCATCTATTTGTCCCAATCTCTCTGTCTCCTATATACTCTCTTTTCTGCATTTTCTTGTCAAAGATTTCAGGAGAAATCGAGTTTACAGCTAGTTGTTCATCCGAAAATGTGTCCTACTAACATCACTCAAACCGGCTTAGAAAAAACGACTAGGAAATCTGAGTTTTGTTTAGTTTTTCTTCAAAAAAATCGCCACAAAAGAGGGAAAGGGATTTTTTAAAATTTCGACTATGACCAGAATGTTTAGGACATCAAGGCATTTTAGTCAGGCACTTTTGGTTATACTTAACAGTAATTGATTCAAGTAATCTTTTGTTCCTCTTCTAGCTCTTTGCCAAGTATTTTGACATTCAGGTTCACACGCAAGCCTTCACCAATGCTCACAGATTTTTCTCCAGAAACCAAAGAAGTCTGATTCATTTGAAAAGGAAAAAGAAAAGCATGTAAGTAACTTTTATCCCGTGTTGTCTCATAATCAGTTATAAGTGTGCATTGTCTGTGCACATCAATACTGTTTTCACTGCACATATTATTGAAAGATTTCTGTAATATAAGCTTGCAGGCTTGTAATAAGTGGTGACAAGAAACAAGTCCCTGAGTGTGAATAACTGAAAGTGAAAAAAAAAAATTGAGATGTTGCAATACAACTTCCCGCATGACAGGATATCAGCCCAAAATTACCTCTCTGTCTTGGTCATATGACATTCAGCAGCTTTGCAGCCAAGTAATCTGATTCTATTTTCCCCAGGAGACCGTCAAATCTGTATATATATATATATATATATATATATATATATATATATAT